GGGCTCAAGTATAGCAGGGATTGTGGGGCTGGCGCGGGATCAGGCAGTGTTTCGTTCTGCTGTGCATGGGGTCACTATGAGTCAGAAACAACTCGACGGCACTTAACAACAACAATATCTTTCCTTGTCTCTTAAGGAGCTCTGATGGCACATCCAGTAAGGCATTTGGCTGCTAACCCAAAGGTTAGAAGTTCAAACCCACCAGCTGCTCCATGGGAGGAGGATGAGGCAATCTACTTCCATAAAGATTTATAGCCTTTGTATCTCTTGTACACAACCTATTCATGAGAAATCAGAGCTTATGCTTACTGGTTGCCCTTTGTAGGTAACTTTGTTTTTTTCTATGCTGCTTTCAGCATTCTTTCTTTGTCTTTGGTTTTGGAAAATTTGATTATAATATGTCTTGATGATTTTCTTTTGAGGTCTGTCTAGTTTGGGGTTTATCGAACTTTTTGAATGTATTTCTTCTTGTCTTTCATCATTTTAGGGAAGTCTTCTTCCAACAAATCTTAGACAATTTTCTTTGTGATTTAATTTGTCTCTTCCTGTACTGCAATTGCAGTCACATGTAAATTATTCCTCTTTATGGTGTTTCACATAAATCTTAGGCTTTCTTCTTCTTCTTTTCCTCTTTGTTCTGATTGTTCCCTTAGCAGTGTTGTATTGAGAGATTTGTCTTCAGTCTCACTAATTCTGTCTTCTAATGATCCAGTTCTACTCCTTTGCCCTTTTAGTGTCTTATCTATTTCTGAAATCTTAGTATTAATCTTCTAAATTTCTATTTGCTGTTTTTGTATGGTTTCTCTAATTTCTGTCTCTCCTTTTTTATTAATTTTTTTTGGTCAGTTTGTTCTTGTATTGTTTTCCTGAATTCCTCTAGAATTTTGTCAGTGTTTTCCTTCGTCTGTCTTTCAGTCCATTGAAGGTACCTAGATATAATTCTTTTGGATTGCTTATCAGTTGGTTCTAATGCCACTGCTTCTTCAGGGAAGTATTCCAGCTGTGTATTCTGGTCCCTTATTTATACAATTTTATTTTCTTTTTATGAATTGGGATTGTGAGTTGTCTCTGAGATATTGTGATGTCATTGTGTTTGCATTTAATTGGTGGTTCTATGTTGGTGTGATTTGCCCTTTTTAAAAAAAAAAAAAAACTTTTTTCTTTATTTTGTTTTGATATATCTAAGCAAGCAGGACTGGTGTACTACTCTGTTCACTAGTTTGGCAGCACATAGGCACTCACCACCAGTCTCCTGGTGGATGTGATAGAGGATGAGAATATGTGCACAGATCTCTGTTCACTGTTCACATAAAGTAGTTGAGGGCAAGTTGAGCTGGTATTGGCTGCTATCAATTGTTGATCAGTTGAGGCAGAAGCAGATGGTGGCCCTTGCCCAGCAGGTGGGTCTGCAGGAGATGCAGATGTGTTTGGGTTGTGAGGACACAGTGCCTTGGCAAGTGGAGCCAATTACCAGTTTGCTGCCCCAGTCATAAAGCTGCTTGCATATATTCAAAATGGCCACAACATCAGTCCAGTCAGCTGTGCACAGCTCCGTTTGTTTCCTTTTTAGCTGTTTTCATTCAGTTTCTTTTACTTGTCAGTATTTGATCCATTTCTTTATCCTTCCTTTTGAAGCTCAGGGTTCCAGGATTATCATCTGTATCTGTTTCAATTGGTTTCTGATTTCTTTATTGTAGAGGGTCTGGGTAGGGTAGCTTGTCTGCCTATTCCACCATCTAACCAAAAGTCCTAAAAGGTACTTATTCTTGCTAACATTTTAGAATGACCATAATCTGAAAGTGTGAAACAGAATTACAGTGATGTCTAAATATCAAAATGATTTTCATTTTATTAAGTTGAAATACCCATGCATGTGGTTTTACATCGATCTGCTTCTAAACAAAAGTGTATGTAAAGAATGTGAATTAATTAATGTTTTAAACCCACTAGGGAAGCTTCATTATGTAAAGAAATATTATGATGAATCCTCTGGTAAAAAAGAATACCCTCAGTTTACATTTTTGTGCAAATATTTTTTCAATGATCTTAAAGCAAAGTATACTTGTATAAGTATAGTAGCCAAGAAGGAAGGATATGGGGTTTGTGCAGGCTAAGAGGATTATAGGTGAGCTGTCTATGCTGAGATCTGAGTAGGTAAATTTTCAATACATTTTGGTCTATTGATTCAGGAGAGGTGGACCTCTTAGGATCCTTCTGACATCCACTTCTTGCTTTTATGCTAGATTGAGCGATTGGAAGTAAGCAGCCTTGCCCAGACTTCCAGTGCAGTGGCCTCTAGCACTGATGGCAGCATCCACACCGACTCTGTGGATGGAACACCTGACCCTCAGCGCACAAAGGCTGCTATTGCCCACCTGCAGCAGAAGATCCTGAAGCTCACAGAACAGATCAAGATTGCCCAAACAGCCCGGGATGACAACGTTGCTGAGTACTTGAAGCTTGCCAACAGTGCAGACAAGCAGCAGGCTGCCCGCATCAAGCAGGTCTTTGAGAAGAAGAACCAGAAATCTGCCCAAACTATCCTCCAGCTACAAAAGAAACTTGAACACTACCACCGGAAGCTTCGGGAGGTGGAACAGAATGGGATCCCACGGCAGCCGAAGGACGTCTTCAGGGACACGCACCAGGGCCTGAAGGATGTGGGGGCCAAGGTGACTGGCTTCAGTGAAGGTGTGGTGGACAGTGTCAAAGGTGGACTTTCCAGCTTCTCCCAGGCCACCCATTCAGCAGCAGGAGCTGTGGTCTCAAAGCCTAGAGAGATTGCCTCATTGATTCGGAACAAATTTGGTAGTGCAGACAACATCTCTAACCTAAAGGACTCTTTAGAGGAAGGGCAAGTGGAAGACGGGGGCAAGACTTTGGGAGTAATTTCAAACTTTCAGTCAAGCCCAAAATATGGTAGTGAAGAAGATTGTTCTAGTGCCACATCAGGCTCAGTGGGAGCCAACAGCACCACTGGGGGCATCGCTGTAGGAGCATCCAGCTCCAAAACAAACACCCTAGACATGCAGAGCTCAGGATTTGATGCACTACTACATGAGATCCAGGAGATCCGGGAAACCCAGGCCAGACTAGAGGAATCCTTTGAGAAGCTCAAGGAACATTATCAGAGGGACTATTCCTTAATAATGCAGGCCTTACAGGAGGAGCGATATAGGTAAGTAATATGGAACTAAAATCCTACATTATTTATGTTTGAGATTCTCCTCCCTTTAGATATGGGAGAGTAACTTTAAAAGTTCTTTGTAGAGTATCTTTCTCTGGAGAGCACTTTAGATATGTCATATGATATCTGCATGAGTTCCATTTCTTAGAGAGCAAAATAGAGACACAGAAAATTTAAATGACTTCCAAGATCACACACTAATCATACACTGATCAAGTGTTCTCGTAAGGGGATGGAGCATAGTTCTCCAGTCATCATTCCAGTTTAGGACTTTAAAACAAACCCAAGCTCTCTGAGCCATTCCACCTATTTATTTATAATCATAGAACCACAAACCATTGCAGCCTATAGCTATACTACATTGAATTCAAAAGATCTATAATCCTGTGAACTCTATAGAACTCAAATATCTATTTGGCCTTAAGCACACTTATCTGGGCACTTGGTGTAGAAAGATTACATTAGAAATAAATTCAGATGAGCATTTTTGTTACCTTTATTATGAATTGGCAAATGTTTGAACGGTAGTTAGAGAATTCTCAAATGGCTAAATTCTTTCAGTTATAATCTGTGCTAAAGGTAGAAAGAAACTGCTCTCTTTTTTGTTTCATATTACATTCCATGTTCACATCAGACCACCCTTAGCTATTCTCCACATGTCTGTCCTTTAGCCTTGTTTTCTTTATATGCAGAGAGAAATAATATCCCCCAAGGAGTACTCATTTAAATCCAAACTTTGTCAGCCAGAGACAGGCCACCTCACTGATGCAGATTAAGGACTAGTCATATGGGAGCCACAGATCAATTTGTGGGAAAAAAATTCAGATCACAGTAGGCCTTGAGAGACCTGGGTTATGGTCTTGTCCCAACTATAGAAGAACTCAGTTCTATAGTATCAGGGCTTAGACAATCCTTTTTACCTCTTGAAAAAAAGAAAGAAAGAAAAGAAAAGTCCCTTTTACCTCTTAAAAAAAGTTATTTTTTAAGTATACTTTTAATGAGATGATCTCAGGGCCTTTATAAGAAATAGATTGTTCCATTAGTTTTGATAGGAGTTACAGCAGAAAGCTACCTCTTTTTTCAGAGGTGAAAATGCTAACCAGTAATTAAGTGCTGACGCTTTCTTCTACACATTCCTGTCCTTGAATTCTAACAGAAGACTTCAAGTGGAAATAAGGAGGAATGAGTGAGAGAGAGAAATAAAGTTCTGAAAGCAAACATATTACTCTTTTTATTTGTTTCATATATATTCTTTAATATACTGAGAAAATGAGGTCTGAAGCAATGAGTAATATAACAAATTGAAATGGACCTTAAAACAAAAACACCTGGTCTTGTGTACCATGCTAATCCTAAATTCCAGTTCTACCACTTACTAACCTTCAAAGACAGGCATGTTTCTCAACTTGTTTTCCTCATCTCTAACGTAGGAGTAATAATAGTCCTTCATAAAGTTATTACGATGAATGAAATAATTGATACAAACCACATAGCTCCATGCCTGCCCCCATAGTACTGCATTCATGTTAGGCTTTGGCTGCTTTTAGTATCCCTCTGTACATGGAGATCTAGGTGCTAAAATTATTAATTTTTGAATGACTAACAGAGCGTTAATTTAAGTTTTTTAAATTGCTCCAGAGCTTAAAATTCATAGAGTTTATTAGGCCTTCAAGTTAGGTATAGGCCAATGTGAGAATATTGAAGAGAAAAAAACAAAAGATCCATCTTTGTATCCATTTAAAATAAGTCAGAGAATTTTAACTCCTCATTATCACTTTTTAGAAGAATCAACTCCAAGCCACTGGGAGGGCAATGAGAAGTGTACTTTTTTTTATTGCACTTTGGTTTCTCTGCAGTAGGTCAATGACTAGTTTTATGAAATGAAGAGAGAATATAGAAAACTTTAGAATTTTCAAAAAGGGAGGGGAAGGGAAAACCCAGCATATGTCATCTGACTTGTTTTGTCGTCCTACTTCAGCTTTAGAATGGTCTTTCCTTAAAAAAGAATCTTAAAAAAAGAAAGCCTTTTTGTTCCAAGAAAGACAGTGGAAACTCCCAACTGTTTTACTATTTTGTTACACCAGTAATTCTCTGTATAGAACGGTGCAACTTCAAAGAATTCCCCTCTGGTAGCATAGTGCCTAAGGCACTTGACTGCTAACAAGAAAGCTGGAGGTTCAAATCCACCAGCCACTCCTCAGAAGGAAGGTTGGACAATCCTACTTCTGTAGTGATACAGCCTTGGAAACCCAAGGAGGGGTCGCTATGAGTCGGGGCTGACTGGACGGCACATAACAATAACAAACAACACGTACATCTTTACATAGTAAATATTTATCTAGTAGATATTTATCTAACTTGGTTGTTTTTTTAACGGCTTCACATAAAGGAATTTTTTCCCACAAATTGAAGACTATTCTTTGAAACAAAAAATTTTCACATGCTAAGCATTTATGGAAAATTTCTCTGCTGCCTTTTAACAAAGTGCACTGAACCTGACTTGATTGGAAATAGCTTGGGCCTACATTATGAACCATGGTGTTCTAACTTAGAGTGATGCTGTAGGTTGTTGTTTTTGTTAGTTGCCATTGAATCAGTTCTGACTCATGGTGACCCCATGTATGCAGAGTGAAACAGCTCCACAGGATTCTCAAGGCTGTGACCTTTCAGGAGTAGACCGTCAGGCCTAGCTTCCAAGGCACCTGTGGGTTGGTTCAAACTGCCAGCCTTTCAGCTAGTAGTCAAACGCTTAACCTGCTCACAGGTAAGTCACAGTGTAAGGTTATGTGCCTGTACAGTAAATGGTCCTGGACAGTTTGCTTCTTTTAGTTCTTTGTCTGCTTTTTATAGATTTATTTGTTGGTTTTTATTTTGTTTTTTCTTTTCCATGTCTTACCTACAATGTTGATGGTTAAAAAAAAAGGTGATTCAGAATGGAGTCTCATCAGTAATCACCACGTTATTTCCCTCTAGCATCTTAGTGCTTGAAAAACTAGGTACAGCAGTTTGAATTGGGGATTTTGGTGCTCTGAACAGCTCAGTGAATCAGAGTGCACCAAACACATAAGAGCAGAATTAGAGGAAGGCATAGGGAGAGAATTTAAGGAAGAGTTACCTGGTGGAGGACGGACAGGCAGCCGAGAGAGGCCATTGGAAACTTCCCTGGGGCAGTCACTGACTGGCGGGCAAGGGCGGCCACCTGAGATCTCCGTGAGCCAAGGAAGAAGACACCCTATATCAGCATATCAGTGACCACACCAACATCCCAGCAATCAACCCTAAGGATCTGCTTCCAGCACCTGATTTTATCGGTAACTTGGGTTGGCTAGGTGCAAATGGGCGCGCAGCAGCACCACTGAAACCCAAGTGGAGAGTTCACTGGTGCTCCAGGAGGGTCAGCTTGAGAGACATTGAGAGGTCTGTGCTTGTCTTTGTTACTGATATCGGGACCAGAGATTACTAGCAAGCACTCTCCCAACTCCAGCACAGCTGAAATCGCGCACATCTTTGGTGCTGCAGGTGGGTGGTATCACAGACAAACTCCCTAGCCATTTGTGGTCTGGGTGGATTGGGCCGGCGCTGTAGGAAGACAGGGTGGAGAGGAATCTGCGGCTGAGTGTGGTCCCAGGAATTTGCCTTGGATCAGCCTTTTGGCACTGAGGAGCCTCGGAAGCAGGGTCTTTGAGTGTGCCTGAGCCTGGTGGAAAGTGGTGACTCCCTAACAACAGGAATCTTTCCTGAAATTGAGCTGCGGACTTGTAAATAACAGTACGTCATCAATAACAGCCCGAGCAAAGCCCTCAAAACTGACCCTAGCAACACCAAGCTTTCCTTCTCCTCCCACCTTTTCCACCAATAACTTCACTCATTCAAAAGAAGAAACCGTATTCACCCAATTACCATAAAACCTCCCGGTTCGAACTCTAAATCCTCTTTATGACAAACAGAAACACATATCCACATTCCACACAGTGATTCCACCATCACAAAGAAAACAGTAGAGCGACCCAGCATACTTGAATCAATAATAAAATAAAATACACCAGCTTCACCTTTTCAAAATATTAGACCATAAAACCAAGACAAAACAAATCAACACATAACCAGCAGTTAAAGACAACCTCAAAATGTCTAGGAAACAACAGGCAACCTCAAATCAAACAAAAAATAGGACAAGGCATTAGAAGCAAAACCACAAACAAAGGTCTCATTATACATGGAGGAGGAGGCAATAGAATTATCTGAGAATTAATTTAGAAGATATGTTTATAGAACTATACAAGAGCCTACGAAACCCCAAACCGAAACAAGGAGAACAGAGACAGTTCCCTGGAGGAACTCAGGAAAATCGTTGAGGAACAGAATATTAAGATTAATGTACAATCAGAACTCATACAAAAACAGCAGTTAGAAATGCAGAAAATGTCTATTGAAATGCAAACCATGAGCACCAAAATGACAGAACTACACAATACAGTCGAAGTTCAAATGAGCAGATTAGAACTGGCTGAAGAACACATATCCCAACTAGAAGACAAATCCCTGGACACTAGCCTGTATGAATAAAAATCAGAACAAAGATATAAGAGAAATGAAGAGAGCCTAAGAATTATATGCGATGACATGAGAGGAAACAATATAAGACTCATTGGAATTCCAGAACAAGAAGAGGTGAAAAAGACCACGGAGAAAATTGTGGAAGACCTGCTAGCAGAAAACTTCCCCCATATCATGAAGGAAGAAAAGATATTTGTCCAAGAAGCTCATAGAACCCCACGCAAGATAGTCTCCTAAAGAAAAACATCGAAGCATATTATAATCAAACTTTCCAAAACCAAAGACAAAGAAAAAATTTTGAGAGCTACCTGGGAAATAAGAAATATTACTTATAATAATCAAACAGTTAGGCTGAGTTCTGATTACTCAGCAGAAACCATGCAGGCAAGAAGACAATGGGACGGCATATATAAAACTCTGAAGGAAAAAAACTT